CAGACCAGTGCTACTCTGCACTGGCTGAAACCAGCCCACTTCCCCGCCCCAAACCTGCACCTGGAGTCTTGTCTAGGATTGCCAACCCTTCAGGAGTCACCAGGAATTAAAGTGCAATTGTTAATTAAAGCTTATGTCATGTGATGAAACCTCCAGGAATATGTCCAGCCAAAATTGGCAAGCCTAGTCCTTGCCATGACAGGAGAGGTTGCGAGGGGGCATGTGGGGCATTGTCAGTGAGCACTGGGGGGGGCACAATCGCCCTGTGGTGCATCTCTTAGGCAGGAGCGGCTGTATCTCAGGGACACCAGCTGATGCTGCAGGAGCAGTCCCATGTACCCCCAGCAGAGAGAAGGCATGGAAGGGCTGTACCACTGCTCCAAAGCAGCTCTGCTCGCCCAACCCTTGGGCCTCCTGCTGCTCTTGGCCTGACCCACCATCTTCTCCACAGTCAAACTGCTCCACTACCCTTCACCCACCCCCACAGTGCATCTGCCTTGCTGGCCTCAGCTTTCTTCAGCACTTCACATGGGGCTTTGCTACCTTCTGGGGCTGGCTAGCTGCTCGTCGCCTTTCTTCAGCCAGTCCATGGGTGGCACCTGAGTTAGCGTGAGGAGCTCCTGCTCGCCTCTGTCATGCTGCGTGGCCCAGCCAGCTCCTCCAATGAACAGGCTGAGTGCCAGGCTCAGCTTTCTCAGGGGAAGCCCAATACCATCTGGGAGGAGTTTACTCTGTGAGGTGACTCACAGGCTTTAGCCTAAATTCCTGCCCAGGAACCACCTGGAATTGTATTTGCATCTGTTCATTTATATCCCCGTTTACTACCTCAGCCCCAGGGGACACTAACCCTCACACACTTGAAGGGGGCGGGGGGCACAGAGTGGGGGAGAGAGCTTCCTTGCACCCTTGATAATCTGAATGTTATTCCCTGATAACCAGAAACTTCTGTACTCAAACTCTGTTCACTTTTTTTTTTTAACATCATCTTAATAACACTTTTAAATCTTAGTAAGGTGAAACCTTTCAGGAATTCCCCTGCATTGTCTCTAGCCATTGTAGACAGGACTATGGGTCAGGTCATTCCCACGCTCAGATCAATCTGGGTCGGAGCAGCCAGGTTTGCTCCACCGTGGCGTTAGAGCACACGCCACTGAGACACAAGCAACTGCCTGCTTGAAAAACATCCCTGTTTTGTTTCTGAAGTCTATAGGGCAGCTACCTGGAGCTCAGGCCAGGCTTTTACCCAGCACTAGGCCTTAGCTGAGGCAGCCACAGCAGAGGCCTGTTCTGGTAGGGCGGTGCTGCAATCCTTGTTGAACAAGGACCCCGGCACCCACTTCCAAGCAGAGAGCGGATAGCTTGTTAGGCACCCAGAGTGAACAGTTACTTACCCTACAGTGTTTGCTCTGCCAGGTAGTTTGTCCACTTGGATCCCATGCCCTGCTCGGCCTCCCTGCTCCTGTGCAGGCCGATGGCTTTGGGACTCTGCCCTGGTGAAGGAACCGAGGCAGTTGGGCCCCCTCTGCGTTTTATGCCCTTGCCTGGGGAAAGAGGGCAGTCATTCATTTTTGTCTTGACCAGACCAGAGGACAGGTTCAGCCCTCCTGAGCTGTGGTATGTGGCCTTAGCTAAGGGTCCATAACCAGCAATGACATCACTCTGCAGCAGTTCAGGTGATGAATCAGGCAGCAGAGTGCACATTCACTGTAAGCCCCTAGGCAGATTAGCCAGTTTGGAGCTCCCACCTGCAGTGGAGGTGTGTATTTATAAGCCAGTTGCCCTTGTCCAGGGCAGTCAGTTAGTTCCAGGTAATTTAAAGCCAAGGGAAACCCCCTTCATCCACCCAGAAAGGGGGAAGTAGACAAAAGAGAAACCAATCCACCCAAGGTTGTTGCCATTTCCCTTTTGTCTCAATGGGAGGCTGCAGTGCTGCATTTCTGGCAGCCCAGGGGTTAAAGCTACATCTCAGCCACGTTCAGGTCCAATCCCTGTGGGACCAAGATGGCATCTTCCAGCAGCAGCAGTGCTGGCCCTGCTTCCCTATGCTGGGCCTAGTGGGCAGCGTTCTAAGGCGAAAGGGGACCTGGGGCTATTGCACAGCAGAATGGGAAAGGGCAGCTGTATGCATGCCCTCACTGCCTGTTTCTCCTCTCTCTGCCCCAGGAGCTCTAGGGCTGGGACCTGGTAGGCTACTGGGGTTGCACCCTGGGGGCTTCCTAGGGTGACCAGATAGCAAGTGTGAAAAATCAGGACAGGAGAGGGGTGTGTGGGGGGGGGGGGGGGGGAGGTAAATAGATGACCATATAAAAAGCCCCAAATACAGGATTGTCCCTATAAAATCAGGACATCTGGTCACCCTAAGGCTTCCCCCTCTGCAGCTGGGATCGCAGGAAGTTGGATAATGATATTGTCAGAGTGACTCACAGGTTCAGCTCGCAATAGGCCCTTTTCCTGGGCCCCAGTAGCTTCATTCAGCGCCACGGCAGAGAGACAAACAATAGAACCCTCTTACTCCCAGCTGCCAGGAGCCTGGGGGTCTGCCAGCTTTAGCTATCAGAACCGACACAGCCACAGACAGGCGAACGAGCTAATCACTACAGCTCCTGCTTCAGCAATGGAGGCAACAGGTTTCTACCAGGAGCAAGACTGGCCCACTGCCAGATCCTTTCCAACCACAGCAATGAGGCCAGGAAAGATGCCAGCTCACCTCCTCGCAGGAGCATGCAGGCCTGGCTGTTAGAATGGTGCAAATTCAGGACATGTGACATGGAAGGCAGAGAATATGGACCGATGCCCATTTTATTTGGTCACTTTTCAGATCTGAGCTGCATTTTAACACTGCATCCTGCTTGTTAAAGTTGCAGCAGTTCAGCATGAGGTTTTGGATCACCTGGCCTACCCCTAACCCTGATTTATAAATACTGGATTTAATAAGCAGCTAGAAACCTAGAAAACAAGTCACAGCATGCCCATTATGTATTTTTTTTTTTTAAAAAAAAACACCTTTATTTGACAAGAAAACCCAAAAAGTTATTTACAGTAGTTTTTTGCTCCGTAAATTTCATTCAGAGGATTCTTCCCTTCCCTTTGTTGCTTCACTCTCCACCGACATCCAAGCCCAACCAGGAGGGGCTTCACCATCAAGATGCCAAACAGGATACAGCTCTGTGGTGCCCATGCTAGATGGAGCAGTGCCTTGTGGGAATTGCAGTTCTCCCTCCCCTTTCAGTTACATACACCAGCCCCAATGCTTCTCAGCCCAGTCCCAGGAAGTTTTGATCCTCCAGAATGGGGCAGAGAGGAAGGAAAACAAGAAGGTGAGAACTCTCCACTCCCCAAGAAGCCAATGGTTAGGCCTGTCCCTTCTAGGATGGCCAGGAGGTAGCGAGCAAAGCCAGGTTCACATCCTCCATCCAGAAATAGATGGGACTGGGAGGGGGGAGTAGAAGAGAGACAAAAAAAGCCTAAATTGATCATTGTTGTCCCTTCCCAAAAAAAAAAAAAAAAAAGAAAAAAAAAAAAAAAAAAGCCACACAGCTCTGCAGGGAACATCACTATGAATAGAAACCCCAGGCCAGGCAGCTGTCTGGTGCTCTGCAGCATTACCTCCCCTAGGAAAGGAATCGGTCAGGACATAGTCAGGGTGCTTTCCCTGTCTTGCACCCTGTGTGGTCCTTTGTACCAGCACACAGCGGGTGAGAGACACTAATCAAACCAGTATGGGAATATCTTATACCCACTGTGCACTGGTGTTAAGGACCGCACACAGTGCAACAGGAAGTCAGATCTCTTGACTCATCTACGGGACATGGGAAGGGATTTCTCCCAACTGCTACAAGTTGCATTGCTCCTTCTCATGGGCCCATTTTGCTCTAAGCAAAAGGTTATTTAAAAAAAGGAGGGGGGGGGATTCCCCGATAAGCCACCACTTTTCCCTTCACAGCCCCAAATCCCACAATGCACTGCTCCCCCTCCACTGCCCACAAGTCCCCATCCGCATGAGCACCATTGTATCCTGCTGACATTAATATCACTATTCATGCAACATAATAATTAGGCTAACAACCTAGGATTAGTGTTTCTCAAGATAGATATATAGGTATGTATATATCGCTATTTAACTTACATTTACAGTGAAACAGCAATATTAAACATGGGGATGTTCATTCAACCCATGTTGTTCCCATTTCTGCAGGCTCCAAGAGTTACTATTCAAATGAAAGGTGCACAGCCTGTAACTCACAGCTATTTGGATTCATAACTGCTCCACGTGCAGTTGTGGCCCACGCCACCCTCCCCCAACCCTAGACTCCCATTGGCAACTCAGACTATTCACAGGGCTACATAGGTTTTTTGTTTTGCTTTTGTTGTGGCCACAGAGAGATTGCAGGCTCAAAGTGCACAAGAGACCCTGCTCTGCGCAATAAGCCAGCTGGCCACGAGAGGTCACCATTGCTCCACCAGTGTGGCAGGAACTACATTCAGCATGATGAAAGCAAGGGTTTGGAGATTCCAGCCAGCATGTGTTTCATAGGCAGTTTGTTGTTAGCACATCACTAGCTTAACCAAGACTCTGCTTTCCAGGGAATGCCTCATGCAGGCCGAAAATGTTACAACAGCAAGAGAACAAGCAGGCAGTCCATGCCCACAAAGATTCCCTCTTCTGCTGGAAAGAGGGTATAAAAAACAACAACAACAACAACAACAAAAAAAAACAAGTTATTTCACAGTCAAGATTAATCTCCAACCCTGCTCCCAACTCCCCCACTGAAATGCCCTTTCTTCTGCTCTTGGTCGGTATCCTCCCAGGACATCTGTACATTCCTCTCTCCCTTCCATGATATGAGGTGCACGTCTTCAGCAGGAACGCAAGAGGAACAGGGAAATGGTGAAGTGTTTACAAAAGGGGAAAAGAAAAATGTCACAATCTATCAAGAAATGTTTTCAGCAGAAAAGATTGCTGAACAGCACCTCAGAGATTTTACTGGCGGCAACAACAACAACATTAGGGGGTTTTGTTTCTTTCAATGGAAAAAAAAAAAAAGCCACAGATTTAAGTTTTCCAGTTAGTTTGATCTTTGCCTTTCCACAGGCTCTCCAGGGCCGCTCAAGGCTCTGCGGCTAAACTCTCCCTTCACAAAATATATACAAGGCAAAACAAAGAGGTGGCCCAGAGAGGTTTAGGGGAAAAGTCTTTTCCTCCTCAGGTGTTCAAAACCCGGAAGGTTTCTCAACCCCTTTAGATGCAGTTTTGGCTGGACACTTCATTTGTTTTTCTCCCATAAAGTCAGCAGGTTTTTCCAGAGTCTTACACAGCAAAATAGTCATCTAGTAAGAGGTCAAGCCAGCTACAAAGCTCTCTCCTCACAACAGCCACTAAGATCCTTCCAAGGAGCCAGGCCTACCTCCTTTGGGCACCTGAAGAGAGGCGATGTCTCCAGCACGATATAAGAAACCCAGGGTGCAATCAAAGGTGCGAGGGATACTTGACAGCTTCCGAACATCGTGACAATGAAAAGGGTCACGTGTCCCTCCAGATGAAGATGCTGCAGTCCACAAGGGCTGCTTTGTGGAGGTCCGAATGCGGTCAGGCTCCTTGGGTCCCCTCCTGGTGGGAGAAGGATGTGTAACATCTGGGATGAGGACCTTCACTGCCGAGAAACACAGTAAAACAACAAAAAACAAAAACAAAAAGCCCCCCCACCACCTTCAGCTGGCAGACGCCAAACCCAACAGAGCCCTAGAAGACAGGAAGGGTGGGCAGACCCAGCTGGAGCCGGCACAGAGCAGGTTATTTGGAGACTGGGGCAGCCTGGGGCTCTGTGTGCCATAATGGGGGCAGCTGCCCATTCTGCCGCTGCGATTCCAGCTCGGCCGCCTTCTGCAGCGCCACTTCCACCAGCAGCTGGAAGCTGCTGAAGTCCTCTCCGAAGAGCTCGGGCGGCGTGGGGGGTGGGGTGTTAAAGAGTCCGTTGGTGGGGCTGGCCGCGTCCGTCCTGGCCAACAGCGCCATGGTGCTGCTTGTTGTGCTCAGCTGAGGCTTGGGGTGGGGGTCCAGCTCCATCCGGGGGAAGGGGGGCTGCTTCTCCTGCTCAGCCCCGTGGGTGCTCACCACTGTCAGGCTGCTGGCCAGTGGCTGCGCGGGGTGGCAGATCACCTGCGGGCAGACTGACATGGACAGCACCTTGGGGGTGGCAGTGGCAGCCGCCGTAGCGGGAGCCACAGGAGGCATCACCAGCACCCCAGAGCCCGTGGTGGCCCCACGGGGCAGGGCCACATCTGCGGTCTTGCCCCCTCGGCGAGAGATGGTGAACTGGTTGGGGTCCTTGCCGTCCTTGCGCAGCATGTCGGGGAGGAGCCGCCGCCGGGCGTTGATGAACCAGTTACAGATCTGGGGAGACAAATTACAGCTCAGTCAGATCGCCGTGGAGGAGAGGCCAAGGCACCATGGAGTCAGGCGGATTAAGAACGCCTCCTTGAGGAGGGAAAGAGAACAGCAGAGTCCTCAGCCATGACAGGGACGTGGCTGCCCTCCGGCCTGAGCAATGACACCTCTCTAGTCTTCACTTGCCCCAAGTCAAGCAGAGAGGCGTAAGCTTCCCTTCAGCACCACCCTGAGGGAGGGCAGGCTGAGCTGCTGCCATCTGCCCTCCTTCCCTTCGAGTTGCTGATGGCCCAGGCAGGTCTGAGATGGAGCAAGTGCTCCAGGGGGGCCCAGGCTGCTCAGGGGAGCTGATTCACCTGTTTCCTGGCCAGCATAGCCCACTTTGGGGCCTGGGCCAGCTCCATGCACAGCTGGCCTGGCAGAGGGGAGGCTGTGCTACTTTGTGCTGTTACTCCGCTGCCTCAGGGGCAGGGATTTAGGGTCCGTTCCCCCTTCCCCTCCCCCCACCCCGGACCGTGTTACACTCTGGCTCATGGTAAACTTTGATATAGGCCGTGCTGCAGACTAACCCCCGTCAGTAACTCTACAGCAGGGATTCAGGACACCATTATAACACTTGTAGCCCTGCCTCAGACAAAGCTAGAGCCCTGCTAATAAAGGGTGGTTCAGGATGGCTGCAGCTAACACGGCTCTGGGCCGCTGTGGGGAGAGGCTCAAAGGTCCAGTCCTACTCCCAAAGCCAATGAGAGCTTTGCCATCCATGCCAATTGGCCCTTAGCAAACCATGTCATTCTGAAACCTGTAAGAACAAGGTCATTTGAACTATTCTGGGAGAACCACACTCACTGCAGTAATCAGAATGCACAAGTTTTCCTGTATGTTCCTCGTCAAAATAAGCAGGAGGAGGGGGGCAGTAAAGTCCAACTGGTTTGGCTCAAAAGGCCAGATGTGCCCTTGTCACCTGAACATGTCTCCTACTCTGACGCACTGCCCAGCCAACCCAGGGCAAAGCTGAAAGGGAGTCTTCCAAGATTCCTAACATGCTTTCCTTGCTCCAGATCCGATCAGGAGGATGGATTGGAAGTAGAGGATGCAGCATTTTGTACAGGGCCAACTCGTGCCAGAAGACTCACTCTAGCTCAATAGGCCCATACATCCCTGATCCGGAGACAGATTTCCTTCACGTAATGCAAGGGCTTTGCTAAACACAGGCAGATTAGTGTAACATTCTTGCCCGCATGGACGCAGGTCAGCAACACTCAGGCATGGAAGAGACACTCCTCCACATGACTGCTGTTAGGGCAATCACAAGCCAAGCCTCGCCTGTTAATACAATGTTGACAATGTGGCTTTTAACAGTTATAAAGCTTTAACTTTTTCAATTTCAATATCTACAGTCAATAAATAATTGTCTGCCCCCTCCCCATATTTCCCATAGTTGTGAAGATTTAAATAGATCAGAGTTCTTAAAAACAAACCGATATTATCCATAAAACTTGAATTCTGCCAAGTCTATTTATACGATGCCTTTCATCCCAGCACACTTCTCAAAATGTATATATGTAGGAATCATTTCACTCACACACACACCCCCACTGAAATATGGCCATCTCTGGGGTGAAATGCACACCAACTCTACAGCTAAGGAGAAGTAGTAAAGATGTGTTTGATATTAAGGGCTCCCATTTCTTTACAGAAAGATAGCCCTTTCCACCCTTGATCTAATTAATACTGCAGTGCACTATAAAAGTGGTACTAACATATCACCATTTATTTTGCCAACTAGCAGAATTATGGTCAAACTCTCAAAGGAGCGTTCAAAAAAAAAAAAATATGTGCACTAACTGAGCAAGGCTCTGTGGGTAGATGTCTGCAAGCCCCTTGGAAATGCAGCTGCCATTTATTCAATTTGCTCTGCAATGTATATCAACATCTAAAACCAATAAAAAGCTAGATGAAAATCACTGTTCTACATAGAAAGCAATTAGAAGAGTATGAAGCAGACAAAGTGACTGATCTCTTCCAAATCAACAGCTGTGCAAAATATTCCCCGAGGACAGAAAAGTTACTGCAACTTGGATCACTATTATCAACAGCTTTGTATTTTTTTTTAGACTTTCAGGCAATAGTTTGTATCTGACACCCTTACAAAAGTCACTATTTCATGTCCCACAGGCCCTAATCTTGCAAGCTGTGTAAGAGCTCTCTCTGAAGTTCTGCACATGGAAGACTTCAAGGATCAGAGTGTCTCTAGATTCTAGTTTTCTTAAAGAGGCACTGTCAGAAAAATCATAAGCCCTGTCCTATCCCCTGCTCCCACTTAAGTCATAGCAGGACTGGGACCCATCATTGAACACCCATACTTTTTAAAGGCTATAAGCAATGATGTAGAGTATTCAACAGAAAAAGCCTTTAAAAAAACCTATGGACTTTGTACCATTCATCTTGTTTGTTTTCCTTTATACATGTCACTAGAGAGGGGAATTTTCTCTCTGCTTTACCAGGATAATTCCAGGTAACAAATTAGGGTCAGATCCTCAGCTGATGTCAATCTACACCACTTCTGAAATCACTGGGGCTCTGCTGAGTCACAGCGGCTGGGGAGCTGGCCCTTAACAAGGTAATTAGAGTGGTTATGTTCTGTTTCTAGTCAGCTGCTCTCTGTGTGTTGGACACTAGCACAAGGCTGTTGTGTGCCTGGATTCACACCATACAGCATGGCTTGGATTAGACAAAACACACTTTAAGAGAGCATTAGTATCCAGTAGGTTTTGTAACTAACCAGCTAATGCAGGGGCCAACCTTAACTACCCCGTTCCCCTTTAAAGGTAACCCCCAGCTTATTTTTAAGTAAGGCCAGTGTTTTCCCTAGCGCCCGTTCTTTTGTGATTCACCATTACAGCACATAGAGAGGTGGGAGCTCAGCAATCACCGACTGTTTCAGCACTTCAAACTACCAAGCAACAGCTCCCACTGAAGTCCCTGGGAGTTACAGGTGCTCAGCACCTTTCAGAATCAGACCCCATTATGGATGGATGGGGGGTGTGTGTGTGTGTGTGTGTGTGTACACACACTTCTACAGAGTAGGCCTGTTGGGTTCCTCTAGATTTGTTTGTTTGTTTGGGGGATGGGTAAGGAAGGAGCCGGTGGGGGGTGTTAAGTCAATTTCAAACTCACAGGCAACAAAGCTTTTGTTGAATCTGCAGGTTTCCTGGGACCAGGCACAACAGTCTTATCTACTTTGCAAAAAGTTAAGAGATACATGGCTTCCTGGTTTCCCTGGAGACCAAGCACTGCTGCTCTCACATTCCTTGTCTGCCAGCCACTGGCCCCCGCTCTGAGAGATGGTGGACAGAAATATATAATCACATGCACTGGACTGGGTGGTGGCTGGTACTTAACCCTGATTTTTAAGAGACTCTAAGAGCCTGGGCGACTGGCAGCAGTTCAAATGGAAATGTCAAGTCTGAACCTCCAATGCCACCTCCGGGGTGCATTCAGGGCTCAGTACATTCCCTTTTCTCTGTGACTGCAAAGAGAGAGGTTTGCTCAGATCCTCCCCACACCGTGAGTCACTGCCATTGTGACAGATTTTTGTTACCAATCTGCTTACCCCGTGGGGGGGCAATTTTACTGTGACACCATCACACCACGATGTGACGGGGGGGGGCTACCTCAGAGCTCCCCCCCCCCCCGCCATGGAAGGGACATGGGGGGGGGGAGAGAAGAGTCAGTGGAAGTGACAATGTTAGTACACAAGGCACTGCTTTGGGGCACTTATGCACTATTTAATACCCTTTGTATTATTATTCCTACATCCCAAACTTATCAACTTTGTCTGCATGAGAAAACGATAGCCACTGGCCCAAGCACCCCGAGCCAGCTCCATGGGCTCTCTAGCATCATCGGAGCAGCTGCAGGGTTCCCAAAAATGAAAGGGAAGAGAAGTTCAGAGAGAGTCACATGCTGAGTGTATGTCTGCCCTGCTGCGAGGGGGGGGGTCAGTCAGCTGTAACAAAATACATGGCCAGATTATCCAAGTGTTGTGCAGAAGCTGCATACACAATAATCACAAGTGCATGCGCAAAGCAGGTTACTGTGCACATCCAAATGTACAGTGAGGACATCCAGGCACGTGACTGTGCCCTGAAAATAGGTGATAACTGGCACTTGGTTTATTTGAAAAATCTGGCCTTTCAGTTTTTAAATAATAAAAAAGCCAAACAATAATAAATCACCTTTAAGACTTGAGAACCTTGAACTTCCAGGTTCTGTTCACCAGCAAGTTATAAGTGAGACAGAAAACAAATAATATTAGCTGAGTCTTTATAGGGACAGCAGCAAGACAGAGCATAACAGCATAATCCTGGCTTCTGATCTCCCACTTAAGCAGGGTCAGGCCTGACCGGCAAGTAGCTGGGAGCCACTGAAGGAAAACCACAGCACTACAGGAGTGGGGGCTATTTGGTAGGTGGCATTTTTCCTCTAAGCCAGCACCAGTACACTGGCTCCAAGGAGCCCCGTGCTACTGGAGATGCCATCTTTAAAATGCTATGCAAAAAAAAAAAAAAAAATCACAGTTAATCATCACTTGCTGTCATTAAAGATCCCCAGCACTTTTCACCAGAGTTGGGATATTGCAGGCAGCACCCTGACCAGATTCCTCCTGGGGGACTTGCACTCTGTCCACATTACAAGAAATAAACACCCATCACCATCCTTTGGTTTCTTCTCTCTTTGTCCTACAGGGTTATGCAGCATTGCTCTCCTCTGTTAGACAGCTGCCATATTCCACCTCAGAGGGGGCAGCATTTCAGTGGTAGATGAAGGAATCCCAACATAAGGCTACGTTTTTAAATGCTTTGGAATCTGTGTTTGGAGATTAGCTATCGAAAAGCAAGTCCTTGTGCTGCTCTGTTGCACTTAGGCATAGACGTGGGTGGCCCCAGAACTCATCCCAAATATAAAGAGCCCAAAAGAACATGCAGAATAGAGTCCCCAGCAGGGGGGGCCACATGGTGTTCCCCAGAATAATTAGATGGGGGATAGGCAGCTTCACATGTCAAAATGTCCTGTATTCTGTTGCTCATCCTGCAGCACAGGTAAGGAGGGGAGGGTGCCTGCCCCCACCACTGGTTGCAGCACAGGCCAGCCTCTCTAGGCCTGGCATACGGGAGCTGCAGCCGGCTCAGCCTCTGCCCCAGCACAGAGTGACCCTTCCCAAAGCCTCTCACCACCCAGACCCTGCTGATCTGGATGCTGTCAGGACATCCCTAGAGAGTCCAAACCAACAGGGCTGGAGTGGCCACATCCCACAACCTAGCAGCGCTCAAACTCACCCTGCAGAATGCCCCCTCCACTATGGTTTGCCACAGAATGCACAAATCAAGCCTTCCAGGGGGCATGAAGAAGAAAGTCTCTCAGAGTGGCACAGTCCGGAGAATACTCATGATGCTGGGACATGCCAGTCCTGAATGCGCTTAAATATCACCCAGCAACGGGCTTTAGCTCTGTTAGATGGGATGGGGGGAGGGGGAGAATCCTATGATCCAAGTGTGGGGATTGGCAGTCGGCATGCCTTAGCTGATCTCAATTGCCATCATATCACAGAGGGAGACAGGGAACTGAGAGGGACCCAGTCAAACAGCACCTTGAACTGCACCCCAAAATGACTGAGAAATCAGTGCAGAACAGGCATTAATGCCCCAGCCTCCTCCTGCACTAGCCAACGTTTGCCTTCAGATGTGCCTCACGTGGATCACTCCGCAGTGACCCTGCGGGGATGACCAAGACATGGGTCCCCATGACACAGCCCACATTCAAAAGGAGGCATTGTAATCTTCCAGCCATGCACAGATGGACGGAGAATTGCTCTGGGATGCTGCTGCTCCCCATGCCAGTTTCCCCAGACTAGGTTACTGGGATGAAACCATCACACTCATTCTGATATCTGGTTTCAGAGTAGCAGCCGTGTTAGTCTGTATCCGCAAAAAGAACAGGAGTACTTGTGGCACCTTAGAGACTAACACATTTATTAGAGCATAAGCTTTCGTGGGCATCCAAAGAAGTAGGCTGTAGCCCACGAAAGCTTATGCTCTAATAAATGTGTTAGTCTCTAAGGTGCCACAAGTACTTCTGATATCTGAGTCTCTGGAGTAGCACTCTGCCCACAGTAACTCCCCAGCTGTGCTGCGTCCTCTTCTAATGGAGTGGGTTCAGATTCAGACCAGGTGTGAGCGGGTGTCACTGCACAACACTTCAGCCGAGCTGCTGCTGCAACTAAAGTCTAATCACATTTCACCTGACTTCCCCCCCCCCCCCCAAAGTCTAATCACATTTCATCTGTCTCCTCTAGCAAATCCACCAATTTTTCAAAGGCACTATTTGATAGGAGTACAGGTAGCAGCATCTGCCCTTTCACTTAGCACTCATGAGAGCAATGGTCCAGTAGCACTGGCTAGAAAGACTTATAAACAAATAGGAATAAAGACCTCAATGCAATTTTTGTAAGAGTAGAGGTTACACCCAGTCCAAAAGGCCAACCCCGCCCGCCTTACAGTTTTGCATTGTGGTTGCACTCTGCTGCCCCAGAACTGGGCTGCAGATGTTGGGGTTATGGAGCACTCTGGGGTCTTTCAGGAGGAAAGGTGCTGTATATGTAAAAATAGCTTTGCTGCTTAACCTCTCTGCCTCAGTTTACTTCTGTAAAATGGGCCCCCTAATACCTACAACCTGTCCCATGTTTAAAACATTACAGTCTGCAATGTTCTTGGAGATCTTCAAATGAGTTCTCCTTGCACAATACAAGTGCAAAGCAGTTTTCTGCCAAATATTATTAGGCAGGGCCAGGTCCCAATCCCCCCTGTGCCATGCATTTAACTTAACCCCCTCCAGTCACCAGAAATACATCCTCTTGGGGGGATAGGAAAGGTCAAGAGACGTTCTCACCTGCAGCACAGAGAGGTTGGTCTGTCCAGACAGACTGAGTTTCTCTTGCTCAGATGGATATGCATTGAACCTATGCTCATAGAGCCAGTCTCGGAGGATCTTCACCGATTCCTTCGGGAGGTTCCCCCTTCTTTTTCTCTTGTTCGACTGCAACAGGTCCAGAGAGGCAGTCCCATCATCTTCTCCGAGGTCGCTGTCTGACATGGTGGAGCTGCCTGCAGACCGCTCCTGGTTAAAGCCTAGCGGAGTGAAAACAAAACAAAGCACAGGTTACGCCGCATTCCATTTTGTGACTGGCCTGATGCAAAGGGGTTCAGTTACCAAGCAGTCCCTCAGCTGAGCCCTGTTTTGGGCAGAATCCCAAAGATCAAGATGAAACCATCATGTTCATCCTAGTCCCATGCAGACCCCAAACAACGACTCAAAGGCACAGAGAGGTTTATTGCCTTGTATTCCCCCTCCCCTCACCCCTTATAGGCCAAAATGTGAAATAAACAGAAGCTGCAGGGTGATCTATACCTCTGAGCAACAAGTCATTTGTTCAGATGCCTAACTTTAGCCCCCAAGGCCCTGATCCTGCAGATTTCACATGCTTAAAGCGAAGCATGGGCCTAACACTCCTATTCCCCTGGGACAACTCAGTGTGTGGGGTTAAGCACACCTGTAAACTTTTGCAGGATCAGGGCCCAGCACTGGCCACTTTAAGAAAACAACACAAAGCCAACCATGCATGATGAGTGTCCGGACTCCAAGGAATGTACCAAACTCGTGTTAGTCAGCCTTACAATTCAAAGTTGTGACAGCAGTTAGAAGAAATACCCTTTGATCTTGCATATACTTCGAGGTAAGATTTTGAGTATCTAACCCCCTCTGTCTACCCTGCAAAGTGTTTACAGAAGCCCAGTGGCACCCCCTGAACGTGTTAATCCTCTGCAGAGCGCAGACATGAGACCACTGGAAGTTATTGCTTGGTTTACTTTACACACACACAAGTCTCCAAGCTCATTTACTACTCTCCCTTCCCCCTCCCCCATGCAGCTGCAGACATCTTCGTTAATTGATACAAAAGCCCCACCACAACCCAATGGGCAAAATTCAAATTCGCTTAAGTTCCTACAGTTAGTTCATTACCCTTCCCGGCCATGTGGCAGAGTTGGTCTGAAGATGGCATTCAAAACCTCGGCGCTTGTCTCTGCTCCCCAGCACGCACACAACAAAGCAGATTCAAGTCCATTGAAATGCAAGCCCCTTCCTCCCTTCAAGAGGAGAAAATGGCAAAGCTGTCTCCCTAATTAAAAAAGCAAATGGATCCCTGTCCGGCTCCTGCATGCAGCCCTGAGTGGCCCAGGGATCAGGGGGAGCTGCTGGCTACGTGAGAGACAGAGAGGCGCTCTGTTGTGCTCCGCTTCAAGGCACTCTGTGACTGAGCAGGGATGGAGGAGGTGCTGCTGTTTCCCTTTGGCCCTGAGCTGCCCCCACCACCAGCTGCCCAGGAGAAGTGCGACCCATCCCAAGGAGAAATCCCAAACACCCGGGGGGAGGGGGGTTAATATCATCCGCAGATTTAAAACACGTTGGTTTGATCTAAGTTTTCCCCACCCCTTCCATGCAAAACCCCAAACACTCTGCAAAGCCGGGTTTTCAAAAGTTCAACATCTTCTCCAGCCAGCGGCTAGGGGCCGCGTCCCAGCACAAAGGGAGTTCGAGTGGACACACCAGCTCCCAACCAGCGAGACCCCTCCACCCCCCGAAAAACTTCTCTACTCCGCTTGGATTCAAAAGAGAGACACGCACAAAAAGGAGAAATCACGTGTCCCAAGTAAAGTTCCCCCTCTTGGTAAGAGACAAAAAAAAGTCAAAGCAAAATCAATCCTCCCCCCCCCTTTTTTTTCTTCTTCTTCAAAACCTGAGTTTTTAAACGTCCCCCCAGATCTGGGTGTGGGGAGGGGGCTGGATAGTTTGGAAAGTTGCGGGTTGAATCCCGGTGCAAGGCGGGGGAGGGGGGAATTCCCCCTTTCTTTAAATCCCTGCCTCTCTCACACACACAAAACAAACTGGGACTCCATGTTTTCTGCCTGTTACATCTGCGATCTTACCCCCAGACCTCCTTCTCTTTCTCCTCGGCCCTTCCATGGCATGGGGAGGGGCTCCGCCGGGTCCAGCTGCACCCCTCCCGGGGTGAAAAAAGGGGATCCCCCCCAAACAAACAAAAAATCACGCCCAGAGGGGAGCAGAGCTCGGAGGGCGAGGCAGAGAGAGACAGAGAAAGTTTCTCTGTCTCTCTCCCGGAGTGACAGATGCCTAGACAGAGTTCTCTTTGTTCCAAAAGAAACAGGAACTTGCGCGGTTCCCCCCCCCCCACCCCCCCCCCACCCCCCCCCCCCCCCCCCCCCCCCCCCCCCCCCCCCAGCTGTCACTTTACAAGCTCAGCAAACAACAAAAATTCCCCGCAAACATGGATTGCTGAGTTAAGACGGGTCTGGGGCGAGAGATTTGGAGATCCAGAGGGGGTAAAAATCAGCAAAGAGGAAAAAAGACCCTGGTTTTTTTTCCTGGGGGGAGGGGGGTGCTGTGCAAGCGGATCATTCATTCAGGGGGAGGCACGCGGTCGGGTTTGCTGGTCCTCCTGAAATGTTGCAAGAAGTGTGATCAAACAAAAGACCCCCCCCCCCCGCTCTCCATAGTTCAGTGCTTTGAAGGTATTTTTCCCCCTCCTCTCCCCCCGGTGCCTTTTCTTTTCAGGGCGATGCAGGAGTTTCTGCAGAGTTTGGCGGCTTCCTCCAAACCACGAGGATGGAGGGGAGACGCTGCCCCCCCCCCCCCAGTACGTGGGAGCCCGATGGGCAAGCCACGCTTCGCCAGGCACAAAGTTTGCCCGAAAGACACGCAGCTCCCAAACTTCCCAGACTTACTTTTCCTGGTCGGTTTCATGTCCCCTCCCGGGTTCAGTCCAGCTCCGGGCAGGAGGGGAGTCCGCGCAGCTGACGGGCGCTCCTGGCTCGGGGAGGAGAGCTGCCCCCCTCTCCCTTTGTGTAGCCTGCGGAGGCTTTTAAAGAGGAGGGGTCTGGGGCTGGTGGATGGGTCTTTAATACCTGACACGCTGCCTGACAGCTCCGGCTGGAAACCACCTCTGGGGCTTGACGTCAGATCCCCCCTTCCCAGGGCTGGTTCACGCACTTAGGCGCACAGTTTTAGGGGCAGCAAAGCAACCGCAGGCAGTTCACCGCCCCCCCCCCCATGAGATCTGAAATGTGGGGGAGGGGATGGGAGGAAGGGTGGGTGGTACACGGCAGAGAATCTCCTCCTCCCCTCTCTGGAGAATGCAGAGGGCAAGTTGCAGCCTCTAGCCTGTCGGAGGGGAACCCACGAGCCCACTCGTGTAGCTGCTACGGCCCAAGTCTCTGTGCAGAACATTATACAGATAAAACCCTGCAGAAGAGCAGTGTAAGCACAGGAGGTCTGATTGTTAGCTGGCGCCTCCGAATCCGGACTAACTGCACTGAAGCTAACCCATGTAAACTAGCTTGAGAGGAGGAGCTCACAATGTTACAATAATACCTACCCTGTGTTTTTGGTGCTTAGTTTAGGCAGATCGTGGGCAATTTTCAAGCTGTATATATAGGGTTGTTTTTAATGGGAAACATTTCTTCCCAAAGCATGCTCCAAACTTTTCAGCGCGGATTTTCCTCCCATCACTTCTCAGGAGGATGAGGTCTCCTTTAGGCCCCAATTCAGTAATGCACATGCTTCATGTTAAGTACCGCAGCAGTGCCACTGACTTCAATACCATTACCCATGTGCTTAAAATGAGGCATCTGCATAACTGTTTGCAGCAGCAAGACATTTAAAGCAGGAGAAGCTGACAGCAGCAAAACTGCATCAGGCAGCTTACTTCATCTCTAGGCCTATTAAGGCCCCAATCCTGCAAGGGAATCCATGCACCTCTTTTGATGTCACTGGGGAGCTGGGTGGAGCAGCGGTTTGCCTTGTTTCAGGAGCAAGGCCTAACTTCTCAACAACAAATTCAGGGACAGAACCTTGCAATAAAAGTTGAGTAAAATCTCTCTCTATATAAACAGACGTTTTTCTTTAACTGAACAGTAAAGTCCTGGCGTTCGGGTTAACTTTGTCACTTTTTATCCGTTAACATGGAAAATCAGAATCTCTGGGTGTAACACTAGATTGCATTAAAATTAAAGGATTTTTTTAAAAGAAAGACCAATGGCAGGGAGTCATTAGCAAAGTTGGGGCGGGGATGATTTTCTTTTTGTAAAAAGTCAAGAGTAGGCACTTGTTAGTCATGGATGTTTGACGGAATTATGGAATGGAATGTGGATATGAGACCTTTGGATCTCACTTCTACCGGAGGTCTGTGACAGCCGTCAGGGGGCCTGCAATGCCCACATTCTCTCCCTGGCCCAGGAGGAGGTGGGTAGGACTGGCGAACTTTGGTGTTGCACTCCGATGGGGATGGCTTGGAGGGGCTGATTCATTCTAGTTATGCTGTTCCTGGGTTATTTGATTTGTTACTTGGGTAAATGATGAGTCTGTTTACTTATTGTGATATTTTTAAAAGATTGTCAAGGCCCCCAGAGTATTGGATGGGCATTCTCTCATGGTAGCTTAATAAAAAAATAAATAGAGACCCAAAGGTGAAGAGATCAATCAATCAGATTAAGGCTATGTCTACACTTAAAATGCTACGGCGGCCCCGCTACAGCGCTGTAGCTGTGTTGCTGAAGCACCTCAGTGTAGACCAGGGGTAGGCAACCTATGACACGCGTGCCAAAGGCGGCACGCAAGCTGATTTTCAGTGGCACTCACACTGCCCGGGTCCTGGCCACCGGTTCGGGGGGCTCTGCATTTTAATTTAATTTTAAATGAAGCTTCTTAAACATTTTAAAAACCTTATTTACTTTACATACAACAATAGTTTAGTTATATATTATAGACTTATAGAAAGAGACCTGCTAAAAACGTTAAATGTATGACTGGCACGCGAAACCTTAAATCAGAGTGAATAAATGAAGACTCGGCACAACACTTCTGAAAGGTTGCCGACCCCTGGTGTAGACACTTACTACAGAGATGGGGTGTGTGTGTGTATGTGTCTCTCGTTGGTGTAGTTAACCCACCTCCCCATGATATTGATGGAAGAATTCTTCTGTTGACCTAGTATTGTCTGTACCACGGTTAGATTGGTTTAATTACATTTCACAGGGGTGTGGATTTTTCACACACCTGAGAGACGTAGCTCTGCCAATGTAACTTTCCAGTGCAGAGCAGCCCAAAGGAAGAAGTATGTTTTGACTGCTAAGGTACAGGCTACACACATGGATCATCATAACCTCATCTACCAAGATGCAAGACCATCTACACACAATGCTATTCTGCTATACAAGCAGAAGCTCTCCTTTAGCCTAGGGCCCAGATCTTCGAGTCAGGTGCCTAACTCCCATTGTGCCTATATACCTTTGAGGATCTGGGCCTAAATTGCTTGTGCTCTTTGAACCAGGAGGCCTTGGATTCTATCCCTGCTGTCATACTAAGTGTCCAGTGGCCAGCATAGTGACAATGTTGAAGTCCTGGATGGTCAGGGGTTTTGTTACATTATCATTTGCCACCTTCCTGCCACTCAGCAAAATGGAACCAGCGATGGTGTGAGTTCCCTGCGTGGTACAGCCACTGGGACATCTCAGAACTGTAGCATGCTGTTTAGAACTCAGTGTAGATTGACGGGGCTGACCACAGCAGCAGCAGCGTCGTGAGTCTGACCTCAGTGGCTGTTCAGCAGCTGAATATTGGTTCAGGGCCTAATCCTGCACAATGTTGCTCCCCTCCGTCTGTGGCGCCCAACACCTGGCAGGATCGAGCTGGTTAGGGAAAGAATAAAAGTGGACGAGACGTAAACATGCAGCTGTTTCTGAAGGTCTGGTTCAAAGCCCGTTCAGGGCAGCAGCACATGTCAAGCCAATCCTGCACTTTTGAGGACAGTGGGGGTTTTGCCATTGGTTTCAGTGGGAACAGGATCAAGGCTCTCAGTCTGGAGTTTGGCTGCCTAGGGATGTGTGAACTGAGTTGATTGTCCTGAATGTGCTGCTGACTGGTCAATCTGAGTGTGGGGGAGGTGCTGAGTGATTCACTGAGGGCTACACAGAGAAGGTATGGAAGGGGAACAAGAAGATAGCAAAGGCCCTTCTCCTGAGGAATCCTAGTGAGTCAGGGAGGGCTGAGTGATGGGCAGTGACAGGCAGAGGGGAGTGAAAGAGATTCCAGCCATTGCATCGCATCACAAAAAAAAGTCACTAGAAATGTAAAGGCCTGAAACATAAAGCTGTGTTGTAACTAGTACAGCTTGTCTCTCAAGTGGGGGGTGGTTGTTCTATTCTTCTGTTGACCTAGCCACTGCCCCTTGGAGAGATGGGTTACCGCTAGGGTGACCAGACAGCAAATGTGAAAAATCAGGACGAGGGTGGGGGGTAATAGGAGCCTATATAAGAAAAAGACCCAAAAATCGGGACTGTCCCTATAAAATCGGGACATCTGGTCACCCTAGTTACCGCAGTGACAGAAACACCCCTTCAGCCAACGTAGCGTTTACGCTACAGTGCTACAGCAGCACAGCTGCAGCGCGGTAGCTTAAGGTATGTCTACACTGGCAGAGATACAGCGCCGGCCGTTACAGTGCCCCTCAGAGAGCGCTGAAGGGAAACCACTGTTGTGTGTTCACACTGTCAGCTGCCTGCGCAATAGCGTGTTCACACTTGCGGCACTTGCGGTGGTATTTGGAGTGGTGCACTCTGGGCAGCTATCCCACAGAGCATCTCTTCCTCTTCTGCCACTAAGAGTTGTGGGAAGGTGGAGGGGGTCGCAGGGCATCCTGGGGTCCTGTCTCAATGCCCCGTGATGCATTGCTTTGCATCCCAGCAATCCCTGTGCTTCTGTCTGGATTTGGCCCCACCTTTCAATGGTTTGTGTACTGCGCACTCTGCCTCTTCTGTCTGCAGGAATGGATCCCACACTGTTGACCAATATGCTGCTTGTTCTCACTAACACGTCACGAGTGGCAGTGGAGTTATTCCTTAAACTACAAAGGCAAGAGGAGTTTGACATTGATCTCGCCACGCGTACTAGCTATGACATGAGATTGCTTGTGGCATTCACGGAGGTGCTGACCACAGTGGAGCTGCTTTTGGGCTCGGGAAACAAGCACTGAGTGGTGGGATCACATCATGATACATATCTGGGATGATGAGCAGTGGCTGCAGAACTTTCGGATCAGGAAAGCCACATTCATGGGACTGTGTGATAAGCTCACCCCAGCCCTGCGGCGCAAGGACACGAGAATGAGAGCTGACCTGTCGCTGGAGAAGCATGTGGCGATTGCACTGTGGAAGCTGGCTACTCCAGACTGCTACCAATCGGTCGCTAACCAGTTCAGAGTGGGAAAGTCGACCGTTGGACTCGTGTTGACGGAAGTGTGCAGGGCCATTAATTGCATTCTGCTCCGAAAGACCGTGATTCTGGGCAATGTGCGTGACATTGTGGATGGCTTTGCACAAATGGGCTTCCCTAACTGCGGAGGGGCGATAGCTGGTATGCATATTCCAATTCTGGCACCAGACCACCTAGCCACCGAGTACATTAATCAGAAGGGGTATTTCTCTATGGTTCTCCAAGGGCTTGTGGATCACCGTGGGCGTTTCACGGACATTAACACAGGCTGGTCTGGAAAGGTGCATGAGACACGCATCTTTTGGAACACTGGCCTGTTCAGGAAGCTGCAAGCAGGGACTTTCTTCCCGGACCAGAAGATCACCGTAGGGGAAGTCGAAATGCCCATTGTGGTCCTTGGAGACTCTGCCTACCCCTTAATGATGTGGCTTATGAAGCCATACATGGGGCATCTTGACAGCAGCAAGGAGTAGTTCAACAACAGGCTGAGCAATTGCAGAATGACTGTCGAGTGTGCTTTTGGCCATTTAAAAGCCCGCTGGCGCTGCCTATATAGGAGGCTGTACCTGGCCGATAACAATATTCCTATGCTTATAGCC